AGGAATTATTAGGAAAGGGATAGAAAATAAGACCCAGAATATCTTACTGCCCCTGTATAAAACTATGGAACGCCCACATCATGAATACTGTGTACAGATGTGGTCTCCTCACCTCAAAAAAGATATTTTGGCCTTGGAAAGGATTCAGAAAAGGGCAACTAAAATTATTAGGGGTTTGGAACGGGTCCCATATGAGGAGAGGCTAAAGAGACTGGGACTTTTCAGTTTAGAAAAGAGGAGACTGAGGAGGGATATGATAGAGGTCTATAAAATCATGAGTGGTGTGGAGAGGGCTGATAAAGAAAAGTTATTTATTAGTTCCCATAATAGAAGAACTAGAGGACACCAAATGAAATTAATGGGTAGCAGGTTTAAAACTAATAAAAGGAAGTTCTTTTTCACACAGCGTGTTGTCAACCTGTGGAACTCCTTGCCAGAGGAGGCTGTGAAGGCTAGGACTATAATAGAGTTTAAAGAGAAGCTGGATAAATTCATGGAGGTTAGGTCCATAAAAGGCTATTAGCCAGGGGATAAAATGGTGTCCTTGGCCTCTGTTTGTCAGAGGCTGGAGAGGGATGGCAGGAGACAAATTGCTTGATCATTGTCTTCGGTCCACCCTCTCTGTGGCACCTGGTGCTGGCCACTGTCGGTAGACAGGATACTGGGCTAGATGGACCTTTGGTCTGACCCAGTATGGCCGTTCTTATGTACTATAGAACTTGCCTAAGAGTAACATTTTCAAAAATGCCTACATGATTTAGGAATTCATTTTCCAAAGTGAGTTAAGCACTTTTGAAAATTTTACCCCTAATTTATAAATCACAGTAACATTTTCCTGAAAATATCTGTTTGGTCCCACCATATTTAAGTAAACATTGTATTAATACTTTATCCTAAAAGAAACCACATCAGAATTAATATTTTCACATTTAGCAAGGGTCATACCTTTGTAAAGATTTTGAATACAACACAAGTTTAGTAAATCAGCAGGTTTTTTGTTGTCACATTTTAACAGAATGCTATAATAAATTTAGTGTAGCTCTGTAACTTTGTAATGCAACCACAATATTAAATGCTATTTTAAAAGATACTGTGGCAAGAGCCATGTAGAACACTCATTTTTACAAAATACTAGGGGGCTGTGCCCCTTACTCGCTATGCTTGCCAACTCTCTCTCTCTCTGGGGGGGTAGGCAGCCCCAGCTTTCTCCCCTCCCCTCCCCCAGCTATCGGCCAGAGCCAAGGCCACGCCAGCCCCAGCTTCGCCCTTACTCCCCCCAGCAACACATAGTTCTCCATTCCTGCACTCACCATCCTCCTTAATCCCTCTCCTTACCCACACTGCCCATCGCCCTGCCTCCATTCCTATATCTCCCTCACTGCACTGCCCATTCCCACATACACCTTATCCCCCTTCCTCTCTTCCTACACACACACTGCCCTCTCTCATAAATGTGTTGAGCTGTGTGCCCCACCCCCAGGAGCACTATCAGGGCAGGCAACGCAATCCCGGTCACCACAGAAGAAGCGAGAGCCTGCCCCCAGCCTAGCCTTTCCAAATAGGCCTGTTGGGGCAGCTTTGCTCCATGGCACGGCCAGGGAGCCCAGAGCAGCCACTCTGGAGAGCTGGGGGAGTGACCGGGGTGCAAGACCTCGTGGTGGGCCCAGGAGAGTATGCCCCCCCCAAGAACTGTATCCAGGCCACACAGAGCCAAGCTGCGCAGTAGGCACATGGGACAGGAAGGCTGGGGGTGGGTCCCAGAAGCAGGCAAATGCTGCTCCAGGGGGCACAGGGAGATGGAGCTCCCGGGAGAGAGTGCCTGAGCCAGGGGCCTGGCCCAGGTCACTGGCACACACCGGAGCCGCTTGCTCAGGGGGAAACCTGCAGCATGGCCTCCAAGTGCTATGGACAGGCCAGGCCAGAGAGAGAGTGAAGCCATGTAGCAGGCGTGTGGTATAGGGAGCACGTGGGGATGGAACCACTCCCCCATTTTACAGCTAAGTCACGTGGTCACAGCTCCTGGGGATGCAGAGTGACACGATGATGTCACTCTGTTGTCCCATAGGAAAAGTTTTTTATATATATATAGAGAGAGAGATTATAATAGACCATTTCTTCAACATATTCATAACAGGTTTTGAATTAACCCTGGCTGGTTACCATCTTGAAGGACAACAAATGGGGTACTCCTGGAGTCAGCTAGAACTTGTGTCTCAAGACAGGGTGAAGTAGAGGAGACTTGCAGGTGACCTATGCTCCACTCGGAGTACAAGGGTTTAAGAAGAAGATTACCATCTAAACAACAGAAGTAAGAGGGTACATTACACACACACACACACACACACACACACACACACACACACTACACTGCTGATCTAGTTAGCCGGTATATTATTTATGTTTAAAAACAAAAGCAACTGGGGACCAGAATATCACTTCTTATGGAAGTTACTACAGGAGTGGAACAGAGGGAATGACTGTAAGGTTACATTTGCAGAGTTTCTCATATGTTATGCCTTAGTCATCACAGAAAATGGGTAAAGGGCATAATCCATAAACACAGCCTCAAGAGACTTGGTTCCCTTTCCCTCAATCACCCAAAGAGTTTTCCCCAATCAGGCTACTCTATTCTGTACCTGATTCCCCATGGAACTGGCGAAGGAGTTTAAGTATTGCTCTATCGCCAAGCCTCCCCATCTCACACGTAGACACCTAAACTCCGCAATCTCCAGAAGTCTTTCTAGTTCATAGTGCTGGAGAGGCAGTGGACTTTCTCCTTCCATTTAAGGGCAGGAGAAAGTAGGAGAATTCCAGGGAAATCAGGTTCTTAATAGCCACCTACAAAAAGCAACAGCTACTCCTTCACATCTAGTTTGCTAATCAGCACTACAGTGATCTCCCAAAAATGAGTGAGACAATCACAGTGGTCACATGTTGTGCTCCACAAATCAGTGTTACATTTTGTGCCAAAACCTTGCACTTTAATGAGGGAGGGCATATTTAATAAAACATCCTAGTAGACACACAACAAGTCACATCATCTATTGAGGTAGTGGTATACATCCTAAAAGGGCTTTTGGGAACATGTGTTAAGTGCTCAGAGATTGTCAAATGAGATTTTACATATAGTACACTTTCTATTAGTCATAGTGTTATCAGTTATACAGTATAGGCTGACACTCCGTAATCCAAACTTCCGTAGTCTGGCAACACCCCTGGTCTGGAATCAATGGAGTGACCCCATGGGGCCAGGAGCATTGCCAGACTAGGGCAGGTGGAATGCAGAATCCTGGGCTGCAGCTGGGCAGTGGGGAGAGCCCCTGGTAGCAGCTGGGCTGCCAGGCGGATCATGGAGCTCCAGGCATGGGGCCACTGAGGAGCAGTGGAGCTGCTGGGCAGACCATGGAGTCCCCCTTGCAGGTGGCAACAGAGCCATGGGGGAGGTCAGGAGAGCAGAGCCCCAGGTATTCTGGTATACTAAAAATAAGATGCATATAAGGCAGGGGTGGGCAAAAGAGCCTCTGTGGGCCGAATCTGGCCCACCAAGTGAATTGATCTGACCCGCGGTGGCCCTGCTGTTCCCAGGCCAATCAGGGAGTAGGGACCGAGGAGCATGCAGCACTTACTCTAAGCCCCATGGGCCCAAGGGCAGGGAGCAAGCGAGTTCACACTCCTCCCCGCCCCCAAGCCAGTCAAGTGCAAAGTCTCCTCCCAGCCTGCAGGGAGCATGCAACGCACAGAAATGCCGCACACTCCTTGCAGAAATGGGGCAGGGTGGGAGACTTTGCATGCCTCCTGCAGCTCCCAAGCCCTGATTGGACTGGGCAGCGCACAACGTCTCCTCCCACCATCAGGGGCACAGGCACCTAGAAGGAACTGCCAGCTCTTCAGAATAGCTGGTGGTTCTCTCTGGTGGAGGGGCGACATGGGCAAAGACTTCATGCGCTCCCACACCCTCAGACCAATCTAGGTCTGTGGGCGGGGAAACATGGAAGTGTCCTGGCCCCGCCCCTTCTGCCTGAAGCTCCACCCTTTCCAGGGCAGCCCAGAGCCACTTCAAAAAATGTTGACGTGACCCACGGTCAAAAACTATTGCCAACCCTTGATATGAGGGATGTTATTACAAAGTATTAATTAGTACAATATTTAAAAAATTATGCTTTAAAACTGTGTTAGAATGATCAAAGAAGCAGTCATTCTATAAAGTATATCCTTCTGAATTACTGACATTGTTACAATAAAGGAAATACCATGCAAACATTTGGACAAAGGAAATTTAGAATCAGTACCACACAGTATATTAGAGTGGAAATCCACTTTTGCCATTTAAGTGTTTCTAATAACATCACATTTAGCATAAACAAACACTTCAATTTTACCAAATAAAATACTTTAAACTTTGGAACAAAGTATTAATTCCATGTACTTGCTTACAAGTTCTCTAAACATTTATGTTATGTTGAACTGTAGAATCCTTGAGAAGGGGAGGAAAGGCCAAATTAGTTGTGTTTGGATTTCTTGCACTCTCTGAACTACTTAGTAATATTACTGCCTTAGACAAAGAAAGGCTCATCATTTACATTTCTCAATCTTGACATAAAAGAGACACTATTAAGATGAAGGGACAGTTCATGATCCATGGCTATTTAATCCTTCAAAACCATAGTCAAGTCATTTGGACCTTCTGCCAAAATGTCAAAATTGCCAAATTGTCTACCTCATAGAAATCAATCAACATCTGAGAATCCCCCAAGAATGTAGATTCTTGATTTAAAAAGGACAACTACAATGCCATCATATTTTAAGACATTAACTTGTATTAAAGTTTTTACTGGCACTGTAGCCAACAACAAAAGATTATAAAAATTTGAGAAATAAAGCTCTCTTTGTAAAACGACAGCACATAAAATGCTTGATGCCAAATTATTGATCACATATTTTATGCAACCGCTATTTTCCAAAATAAAAATGTCTATACAAAGCTAAAATCCTGGAGTAAGATGAAGAAGTGGAGGTTTGGGGGGCACAGGAGACTTGAAGAGATTGCCAAGCTTGGAAAAAGCAGGCATCCTATTCAGAAGCAGAGTCCTGTCAAACAATTCAGGAACTTCTCTGAGCAAACAGTTACCTCAGCAGGTCTATTAACAGGTAATTGTTTACCTACTATTGAGCAGAGCAGTTGGGAAATGACTGGAGGGGTTGGTGAAGCAGGCTTACCTGGTACAAAACAATTTTTTGTGGGAATTATGTGGCAAGAGTTCTATTTCATTTAAGTTCCCATTACTGAAGTATCCAAGCATCCTAGATCTTGGAAGAAGTTGATTTTCAATAAGTCATGCCGCACTGGGGTAGTTCTAGAAAACTGGAAGAAAGCCAATTCTCAAACGATACAAAGTATGACTGGATAATTATCAGTTCTTGGCTATTTAACATTTTTATCAATGAGCAAGTCTGCAGATGACCGAAAACCTGGGGAAGTGATAAATGATAAAAAAGATAAATCACTGGTATAGAACAATCCAAATCATTTGGTACACTAGACGCTAGCAAACAATGTGTGTTTTTAAAACAGCTAAATGTGAATACAGGCAGTCCCCGGGTTACGTACAAGATAGGGACTGTAGGTTTGTTCTTAAGTTGAATTTGTATGTAAGTCGGAACTGGTACATATTGTAGGGGAAACTCTAGCCAAACATTTCTCTAGAGCTCAGTTTTATTCTCCCACACCTCACTTCCCTCAGTCCTTTATTCTCAAGCTGAGGAGTCTGCTGAGAAAAGCCACTCCGCGTCTCCCTGGTCTGCTGGGGGGAGCGCTAGCTTCGCATCTCCCTAGTCTGCTGAGGGGAAGCAGCTAGTGCGGGGTTGCCTCACCTCGTTTGTAAGTAGGGATCCGATGTAAGTCGGATCCATGTAACCTGGGGACTGCCTGTATATACATCAAGGAGCAAAGAATGCAACCATGCTTATACTGCAGGGGACTCTATTCTTGGAAGCTGTGACTTTGAAAAAATTTGGAGGCTGTGGTGGTTAATCAGCTGAACATGAGCTCCAATGCGACACTGTGTCCAAATGAGCTAATGTGATCCTGCATAAATAGGAAAATCTCAAGTAGGAGTACAGAGGTTGTTTTACATCTATATTTGGCATTGGTGCCATCAATATTGGAATACTGTGCCTATTTCTGATGCCCACAATTCAGGAAGAATGGTGATAACATGGAGAGTTCAGAGAAAAACTACAAGAATTAGATAGCATGCCTTACTGTGAGGAACTCAAACTAAATAGATTAAACATGGTAACAATAAGAAGACTAAGAGGTGACTTGATTACAATCAGTTAAGTATCTACATGGTTAAGCAGTCTAGTATTTAATAATGAGCTTTTCAACCCAGCAGAGAAAAACACAACATGATCCAATAGTTGGAAACTGAAGTTAGGCAAATTCAGGCTGGAAATAAAGTGTAATTAACCATTCCAACAGTTTACAAAGAATCATGGCAAATTTTCCATCACTGGAAGTTTTGAAACCAAGATTGGATGTTATTCTAAAAAATATTCTCTAGGAATTATTTTGGGGGAAGTTCTATGGCTTGTGTTATACAGAAGGTCAGATTAGATTACAATGGCCCCTTCTGGCCTTGGAATCCATTAATCTAGGGATAGGTCTACATTGCAATTAAACACCTATGGCTGGCAAGTGCCAACTGACTTGAGCTAAGGAGCTCACGCTAAGGGGCTATTTAATTGTGGTGTAAACAAGTGGTGTCCAACATGCTCACTGCTAACCATATGTGGCTATTTGAGTATGGCTAATTGGCTTGAACAACATGGCTATTTGGCCGGTTGAGTGTGACTAGTTCGCTATAGCAAGAACCACTATAGTGAAAACTTTGCAGCAGGCAAAAAGCAGCATAATCCCTCTATATGTATATACAAGAGCTAGAATTTAAAATAAATATAGCAACTGACAAAGAAGACTGCTGCAAATGTTCACATTTCAATATGAAGGGATATACTCCTTGCCAACAATGAGTTTAAATGAATAAACATCAAAGTTTAACTGAATACATTTCACTTCAGACCTGATTATTTTCTTTCCCAAATAGGAAGTTAGACTTTTAGAAATATCTCAATGCTGATAAGAAATACGATGTTTGGACAGAAACTTGTATATCAAGTATGCTCACTCAGGCTGCAAGAGATACTATATTTAGATATGTACGCATCCATTCAACAATCAGAAGTGTCTCCAAAAATCCTGTGGCAACTGGACAATGTTTTAGTTTATATAATCTAGGGATATTAAAATGTGTTTATTTAGGTAAATGTGTAATCGCTGAAATTCCCACAAATATATGAAGTTAGATCTGTGCAGGACTTATAACCTATGCATGAAAAAGAGACAAGTGGATGATCACCTTTCATACTTAACATGACTACCATCAATATCTAGTCATTCTAATTGGCTTATGGAATGTTCCATAAGTGTTGAAAGAGTGCGGAGCAATATATTTTGAAATATGCTGGACCATCTTGTCATTACTCACCTCAATGATATTCTGATTTTCCCCAAAGACCAACTCTTTTTGACCAACAAGTATGCAGCACTCTGAAAGGCTATTCCAGAATCATCTACACATCAACCCAGAGAGAGGTGAGTTTGACCTTGAATTTCTTGGCTATATCATCTCACTCAAAGGACTGGTTATGGACCCCCTGCAATGTGACTACCATCATGGATTGGGTGGCACCATAGAAAATCTGCAGAATCCAATGTTTCTTGGTTTTTGCTGATTTTTATAGATAATTTCATAGAATCATAGAATAATAGGACTGGAAGGGACCTCGAGAGGTCATCGAGTCCAGCCCCCCGCCCTCAAGGCAGGATCAAGCTCCGTCTACACCATCCCTGACAGATGTCTATCTAACCTGTTCTTAAATATCTCCAGAGAGGGAGATTCCACCACCTCCCTTGGCAATTTATTCCAATATTTGACCACCCTGACAGTTAGGAATCTTTTCCTAATGTCCAATCTAAACCTCCCCTGCTGCACTTTAAGCCCATTACTCCTTGTCCTGTCCGCAGAAACCAAGAGGAACAAATTTTCGCCTTCCTCCTTGTGACACCCTTTTAGATATTTGAAAACCGCTATCATGTCCCCCCTTAATCTTCTTTTTTCCAAACTAAACAAGCCCAGTTCATGAAGCCTGGCTTCATAGGTCATGTTCTCTAGACCTTTAATCATTCTTGTTGCTCTTCTCTGTACCCTTTCCAATTTCTCCACATCTTTCTTGAAATGTGGCGCCCAGAACTGGACACAGTACTCCAGCTGAGGCCTAACTAGTGCAGAATAGAGCGGCAGAATGACTTCACGAGTTTTGCTTACAACACACCTGTTGATACAACCTAGAATCATATTTGCTTTTTTGGCAACAGCATCACACTGTTGACTCATATTCAACTTGTGGTCCACTATGACCCCTAGATCCCTTTCCGCCATGCTCCTTCCTAGACAGTCGCTTCCCATCTTGTATGTATGGAACTGATTGTTCCTTCCTAAGTGGAGCACTTTGCATTTCTCTTTATTAAACCTCATCCTGTTTACCTCTGACCATTTCTCTAACTTGCTAAGGTCATTTTGAATTATGTCCCTATCCTCCAAAGAAGTCGCAACCCCACCCAGTTTGGTATCATCTGCAAATTTCTCCCAGGATTCTTTGTGCTCACTAATCCTCTCAGCTTTGTTGTGAAAGGGAGTCAGTTCTCATGGCCCCCAAAGGCACAAACTGCCTTTGACAATTTGAAATTGGGATACATCACAGCTCCCATCTTTATCCACTCAGACCTTGCAGACCATTTACTATAAGGGCAGGAACTCTAAATGTTACACTTGCCCAACCCACTGCTCCCAATACTTGAATTCAGTGATTTTTTTCTTATGAAAATTCACTCCTGCTCAGAGGAATTATGAATCTGGACTTCCAACATTTGAAGAAGTAGGTTGTACCCACGAAAGCTCATGATACTATCTACATGTTTCGTTAGTCTTTAAGGTGCTACTAGACTATTTGTTTTTTAAGTTTAACACAAACAAAGAATTTCTAGATATCAAAACAGCCTATGAAGAATGACACATTATTCTAGTAGGTGCTAGGTTCCAGTACAAGTACTAACAGATCACAAAAACTGTCTAAAATGGCAAGGCATCTGTATTGTCTACAGACATGCTGATCCTTCTTGTACAATTCAAGTTTGGGGTCAACTACAAGCCAGGGACAAGGACAAAGAAGAGAGATATATAGTCCCAAAACAAGTACCATGAACCTGGTAAGGAGATTATGTACTCAAATTCTCATGCTCTCAAACTCAATGTCTGGTATCACAGCCCTCGACCTATTCTCCTTCATCCACGGATGAATCCACGAGCGCTCGCTCAGCACATGGGGCTGTCCACTCTCCGAAGCCCTCTGTGCGTACTCCAGGAGGTGAAGATGGCTTTGTCACAGCCCACTCTCGATTTTCTGCAGAGAGCCCTGCAAGAAGGTACGCACTGCTTCCCTCCCCTCCCCCTCACTGCAACCCCTCTGTCTCTCCTTATTGGGCCCCTGTTCTACAGGCCTCCCCCAGCTTCCCTATCCCTGGACCCCCCCCCCCCCCCCGCGCCCCCCGGTTTTGCCCCC